TTGCTGTATGACTATATCGTGCGGTGCTCATGCTTGCTTGTGTTGACCATGTGTTTGCTGAAGGATTATACAGTTCAACACTGTTGAGGGCACCAGTGCTACCTTGTCCGCCAATAACCAATATTTGTCCATTCGATAAGTTGGACGCTGTATGCATCCATCGCGGAGTTATCATATTTTGTATTAGTATCCAAGTATTTTGCGATACACTATACATTTCAGCAGTATTGAGATAAGTATTATCACCACTTTTCCCACCAATAGCCAATACTGATCCATTTGATAATACAGATGTTGTATGGAAAGATCGTGTAGACTTCATGACTGCTTTGTTTGTCCAGCTATTCGTTACAGGGTTATACAATTCAACACTATTGAAGTAGCCACTACTACCCTGCCCACCAGTAACCAATACCGTTCCATCTAATAGTAGAGATCCTGTGTGACGCCATCGTGGAGTACCAATGTTGGCTTTTTGTTTCCAAGTACCTGTGGATAAGTTGTACGATTCAGTAGCACTGGCATAACCTGCACTAGATCCACTAATAACTAATACTGTTCCATCGAATAGTACAACTGCTACATGTGTATCTCGTCCAACAGCCATACTTCCTGTTGATTTCCATCCTAAATATGAAAAAGAAGTGAGAAAAAATTCTCTTCAAAAGTACGAGCCAAATGACACAGATAGTTCATCAATCAATTGATAAGATAGGTATTTATTGGAAGACTCCACTAAACTGTTTCTGTTATGACACAGATGTGAAATCTAAGTAGTATTAAAATTGAAAAATCAATTTCCGATAATATACAGATTAAATACTTAATTCGATTCAGAAAAACAAAATCAACTTTCAGCATATTTTAAGGGTGTATAAAATCTATCACTAATTCGCAAAAATTGTGAAAAATGGGGTGCGTGTACGTATCATTTTTAACTTATACCCACAACGTGTATCTATATAGATACATGTCCAGCTATCTATCCCACCGTAGAGTGAGTGCGTTACCAGGTTCATATTTTCGTTTATCTCACAACTTTTTGGCATGTAACTAGATAAACGTGGGCAGTATACTCCTTAGGAAAGATAAAAAAATGTTGCCTGCGTTTTGTTCTGCATAAATTCGAAATTCGTGAGATAAACGAAAATATGAACCTGGTAACGCACTCACTCTACGGTGAGAGAAATAGCCGGACATACTACTATATAGTATTTCTAAAAAATCCCACTACAACTACAGATCCTTCAATTGAACTCATTTATACAGTATTTCCTCTCGAAAAAATCATTATAAAAATCTCTTACCATTACATATTTTGTTTGTTGAACACATGCTATTCAAACAGTCTGAATTTATCGTACAATTTTGCAAGTTAAGACATCTTTGACAAGATGAAGAACCACCACAGTCCACATCTGTTTCTACACCATTCTTCAAATTATCGGAACATGAAGCGACTATTCAAAAACGAAAACAAAAAACATTAGAAGAGAGAAGAAAACTGTCTGCTACGTACTCTGACAGATACCACCAGTACACAATACATTAGCACAATCCGTAGTAACTCTACACATTTTGCCAACAGCACATGTCATGTTGGATGATCCACCACAATCAACATCGGTTTCATCTCCGTTCATTACGCCGTCATGACACGTTGGAGCTAAGATAGAGAAAGGCAGATCGGATAACTTTTTCTATGATGATCACTTATATATTACTTAGACACTGGTTAGCATGGCATACTTTACTAGAACAATCGGTAGCAGAAGAACATGTTTTTCCATCATCACATTTATTAGAGCATGGTCCACCACAGTCCACATCTGTTTCTCCACCATTCTTCAAACCATCGGTACACGAAGGGCCTATTCAACAACGAAAATAAAAAACGATAGGAGATAGAGGAACACTGTCTGATACATACTCTGACAGATACCACCAGTACATAATACATTAGCACAGTCGGTAGTAACTTTACATGTTCTACCAACAGCACATTGGGGACATGATCCACTACCACCGCAGTC